TGCACCTGGCACGGGCACCGTAGCCAGCCCGTGCCCCTTTAAGGGGTCCGGGGCTGGGAGGGGGGCAATAGAGTTTCCCTGGTGTTGGCCAGAGTGGCCACCAGGGAAACCTGGGGAGGGCTAGCCTCCCACTAGTTCGAATTAAGGGGCTACACAGCCCTTAATTCGAACTAGTAAATTCGAACTAGGCTTAATCCTCGTAAAATGAGGATTACTTAGTTCGAACTAAGCGCTCCGTTAGTTCGAATTAAGTTCGAACTAACGGATCGCTAGTGTAGCGCCTATGAAAGTTAGTTCGAACTAACATCCGTTAATTCGAACTAACTTTGTAGTGTAGACATACCCAAAGGGGAAATCTCCTTCCCATAGTGGCGCTGCTTCTGCAGTTAATACTTTAAATCTGAAAACAGGCTTCACCTTTCCGAAGTGGGATATGGAGACAAGGGGCCATATTCTCCCCTTTCCCAGGTTCACCTTGCACCAGAACTTATAGCAGCTGGAGATTTGTACAAGTATCCTCCCTCTTTGGGGAGCATCTCTGCCGGCACAAAGCTGCCTGAGCCACCTCCTTTACCAGCCCTGTTGCCCACCTGGAAATTTCAGGGCCCAGTGCAATGAGAAGGACCATATTAGGGGAGGCGAGGGAAGAAGCTGTGTTAGGAGGAAAGAGAAGGTGAGGCGGTATGATAGAGTAAGCTCCATTATTCTCCATTCCCCCATTGGTATTCAGACCCTATGGCCAAGCAACTGAGAACCTCTTTGGGAGCCTGGGCACAGGGGAGGTCCCAGCCCATGAATTCACACCAAGCCAAGAGTAGTAGTGAATGGCAGTTGCTGTCATGTTGGTGGCTGTCCAATGGCCTGTGTGAAATCAGCGCGCTGTGCTCCTTCTGGAATGAGGGGCACATACCACAGCTGTGCTAACTGCATTCTTGGGTGTCATCCCCATAGACCAGAGGTTTCAAATGCCCAGCCCATGGACCATCTACAGGCCGAAGCATACATGCATTCTGGCTCGAGACCTGGCAGCCTGGGGGAGGGGGGTCAGTGTCTGAACCCAGCCCCCATATGCCACCCCTTCCCATCATTGCCCTGCCCTCTCCTCTAATGACACCCCATCCCCCCAGAGACCTGCGTCGGGGATCACTGTGGGGGGACTTGGTACAGGGCAGCAGCAGCAGTCAGACCCCTATGCCACCACGGAGTGGAGTGAGTTCACACATCGAGTGTGTTCCACTTCCCCATAGTGGGGGTCCTGACAGCTGCCATTTTTGCCAGGCCCCCCAGTAATCCCTGAGGCCAGCGTGAGGGATGGTTTGGGACACGTCTCTCTGGCCACTGGTCTCCTAGGCCAGATTGTGAATATTCTCTGACCTGTAGGGGTCCGTCTACACTACATGCCTCTGTCGGCAGAGGCATGTAGATTTGTTTGTTCAGCAAAGGCAAATGAAGCCGTGATTTAAATGATCGCGGCTTCATTTACATTTACATGGCTGCCGCGCTGAGCCGACAAACAGCTGATCAGCTGTTTGTCGGCTCAGCGCGGCAGCCATGTAAATGTAAATGAAGCCGCGATCATTTAAATCGCGGCTTCATTTGCCTTTGCTGATCTGTCTAATCTACATGCCTCTGCCGACAGAGGCATGTAGTCTAGACACAGCCTAGGTGGCCTGCAGGACAGGAATTTGAGACTCCTGCCATAGACTGAACTACACTCTTCCTCTGAGGAAGACATTACCTCCAGCTGAGTGGTTAAGTTGGTTGGGGTTGTACAGGGAAGCTGTGCAGGTAGACAAGTGGAGTCTCCAGAACTGTAAATCCAGCTCTTCTCGCAAGTGCTGATTTCACATTAAATGTAATTGCTTATTTGCCAAACCAGAAAAAAGAATTGAAAACCATAATATCGCTGCCTCTCAACCCAGTGTGGCAGCAGGCACATCAGGATATGTACTGCAGTGATTTTCAAACTTTTTTTCTCATGACTCAGTAGAAGAAAATTGTTGATGTTCACAAACCAACATAATTTGACTAGATTATGTTGGGTGGAGCTGAGGATGAGAGTTTTGAGATGTAGAAGGGATGTCTGGCTTTGGGGGTGTTATGGCTGGGGCAGGAGGAGCTTACCTTGAGCAGTTCCCGGTTAATGGTGCAGCAGGGGTGCTAAGGCAGCTTCCTGCCTCTCTCAGACTGCAGACCAGGCTGTGCCACAGAAGCAGCCAGCAGCAGGTTCCCAGCCAATGGGAGTGCAGAGCTAGTGCTCAGGGCAGGGTGGGCTCTCCCCCACATTCTTCTGGGGCACAGCACAGTCCCTGGTGCCAGGACAGGCAGGTAGCTGCCTTAGCACCCCCACTGGTCACCTGATCTCCCTGCAGCAAGAAGACCCAGTCCCTGACATGCCACGACCCAGTACTGGGTCATGACCTGTAGTTTGAAAACCACTGGTGTAGTGGACAGTTTATTGGCCTAAATTCTCAGAAGTGGCTCAATTTTTGGAAGCTGCACTTCAGACGCCGCAAAGGGGCCTCACTTTTTCAGACAGTGCTAAGCACCAAGCACCCATCTTCCATCCGCTGTGGTAATCAGGCCCTTAAAGCTTTTTTCAACTGGGCACCTTCGATCATTAGGCACTGGAAAATTTAACTCGGACCTTTTATATGGGAACAGAAAGGCCAGTATCTGTCTGTCACTTTTTGAATGGCTAGAAACACAAAACAGGACAAAAAGTCCTTTATTTCTGATTGCAGGAAAGAGGTTGTCCTGTCTCAGATCTAGACCTGTGCAAGATATAGGGTATCTGTCAATCTGTCACATCCTTTCATTAGTTTGCAGGATTTTATTTCAGCAATGTATCCTCAGCAAAATGGCTGTAATAACCAGGATTTTTGTTTTAATAATGGCTGAAGAATGAAGTATTATCTTTCTGATACAGGTTATCTGTGGGAAATGCTCTGAATTTAAGCCACTTGCAGATAACAGCCGTCACAATAGAGTGTGTAAAGACTGTTTTCTGCTGTCACCAGCAGTCCTGTGCAACCCAGGAGCTGAATCTACAGGAGAACAAAAGAAAAAAACTGCCATTGAGGTACAGTTATCCTGCTAATAAGCTTTTAACATGCTAGATGCCTGAAAAGGCTGGTTATTTTATTTATTATTAAATCGCTTGGTGAGTGCTTTTCTTCATGATCCCACAGCCTTTTAGTAGGCTGTCACTCAGAACCTTTACCTGACAAACTGGCACTTATAGAACTGTATGGACATACATTGTGAATCCACTCTGATTTAGTTAGCTCTGATGTTACACTCCCCTCTCTGAACCCTTCCTTCCTTTCACTTCATGTGTCTGAGGAAGTGAGTTGTATCTCACGAACACTTAGGCCCTAATCAGTTTGGTACCCTTTAAGGTGCTATTGGACTCCTTGTAGCTTGTTTTGAAACAGACTAACATAGCTACCCCTGTGATGCCTATTGTAAATCCTGTTTTAAAACATGAGTTTTGTATTTTTCATGCAAGGACACAGGTTTTGCAGCCCCCAGGTTTTCAATAATTAGCCTGCTCAAACAAGAGGCACTTTACCCAGCTTGCCTTCGGTGTAACTTTTCAGACGTCAGATCTGTTTCCATGTAACTTCTCACAGCAAAATTCTCTTGTTCCCATTCTGGGAAATGTGTTCTTGACATTTCACTTCTCCACAAAATGCCAGGGCAGTTGATTGTTTTTCTCAGTGATTCATGCAAGGGCATGCCACACCATTTTTGAATGACAAATCCTGAGTGTGAAACATCAAGCAGTAGTAGAGTGGGATGGTCACTGTCTGCAGCATTTCCTTTTGGGGCAGACTGAGGGAGAAGAGTGCCCACTGTGCACAGAGGCACCCACCAAGAGCTGTGCTTTGCTTCATGCTCCACCAAAACATGAGGATGATTTTGTGCTTAAAGCTTGAGGGCTATGTGTTTAACTGACCTCATACTGACTGCATTGGGTAACCTGGAGCAGGTGTAAATTACTGTATGTTTTGGCAGAGAACTGTGCTTAGATGCGAAGAGACGTGAGCACAGTGCTTTGAACTTTGACTGTTCTGGGCTGCAAAGCTGCCCTCTGATGACTGTGGGCAGCTGCCATAAATAAGAGCAGTTTCTTGGCTTTTCTGATTAGTGGAATTCTCTCGTGCCTAGGTGATCTACCTCAGCTTTGTACCCCATCTTAGTCCAAAATCCTCGGTGGGGTAAAACCAGTGTTCCCTGTAAACTGTGCACTTGTGCAGCTGCTCAGGAGAGATTTAGACACTACCCAGCTAATTAGAAGAGCACCCCCAACTAGGTGTGCGTTTCTACTCATGGTGCATAGTCTCACCTGCTTTGGTGCACATAACAACATTTATTTTGCACACAGATGGAAAAAATCCACATGTGAGTGGAAAAGATTATCAGGAACATTAGTGCACACTGCCTATGTGCATCTTCTGCAAGGCACAACAAAGTATGGGGCTTGATATCTTGGAGCTGCATAGTCTCTGTTATGTTTCTATGCACCTGTGATTACAGCCCAAGAAGAAAACGGAGTGTGCCCCTGCAGTGCATGTGGTGTCTCACCATAAGCTATCAACTCCATTTCAGCAGAACTATCTGCCAAGAAAGTTAAAGCCTGCACCTAAACAGCAGGCTAATCCTAAAAGTCAGGAAGTTATTTAAAAGCCAGTGAAATGTGACCCAAGGCTTTCCTTCTGAGATCAAAATTACTTACTCTAAAAATCCAAGAAATGAAGTCGTTTTCATTCATATCCTCAGACTTTTAGCCCTACGCTGCCTCTGCAAAGGATTAGATAAAATGCAAGAAAGATGGTAAGTGCACAAAGGGGAAATATTTGAGCAAGTCTGTTTCTTCCCTTCCTTTTTTACATAATACTTTGTTCACGAGATTAACAACAACTTGAGAGCTTGCCACTTCACAAATGCTGTTAGCAGATGCCCAAAATCCTCTAGAGATTTTTCCACTGGAAAGGCCAATATAGTATAGCTACTTTTTCAGTCGGGGGAGGAAGGGGGGTTCTTCTTTTGCTCACATAGCCTCAGAGTGTGGTTCACCATACTTCCTCCCATTCACGTACTAGAGTCTCTGCTAATTATAAAGATGGAAAAACTGGGGATCTAAACACAGGCTATAATATGAAAGAGCAGCAATAAAAGTACTGCATTTTCTTAACTTATCTTTCGGAATGTTTTTGCTGATTGATATTTTTTCCACTCTAATCAAGGAATTACTTGGTGGTGAACCTGGAGCTCTTACACAGTCTTACAGCATCTCTGTGCCTGTTCAATGATGCTAAGACACCTTTTCCATTAATTTTAAATCTCCTCCCAGCCTATTTGTGCTAAGCAAGAAACAAGCTGTGTCATCTAAATTGCCTTTCTCAAATTACACTGTGGAGGTGGAATTTTAACTCCCCAGCATCTACCTCTAAGTACTTCAGAGCATATTATGTCTTGATGATACATTATGATAATTAAACTCTTGTACAGGTATGAACTACTCAGCATTTACCCATCTGAATCATTTGGCTGTGTATGACTAAATATTGTACTTAGTGTATAATTGTAAGTACCCTGACCTTATAAGAAGATCCTACTTTCTTTTTACAGAAACCAAACTTTTTGGCAGCTGAAAACAGCCTTTTCAGCAGCCGCCTCCTGTTCCTAGACAAAGGGAAGACTTGGTGCAAAGTGTGTGTCACCATCCCCAAGACCGAACCTCTTGTCTTGTATCTGCACGGGGGAAGTCAGGTAAAAGTGACATTATTGCTGAATGATACCCATAGCTAGAAGCATAAGTTTAAGTGTGTCAGTATGAGAAATAGGTCAAAGGATTTGGCTTACTTTCAACAACAGAAATTAACTTGGTTGTCTGAATTTAGCACAAAGCCTCCGAGATTTCAAATTTCCTTCTGATCTGGAGATGGAGCTTACAAGATTGCAAGCAAAAGGAGGCTCACATCTCTTTCTAAAAACAGGTAGCACAAAAGAAGGATAAATCAATCATTATTTCAGTTCAGAATTATTTCCCTAGGATTTCAGAGGCATATTTTCAAAATAAATACTCAAAGGGTTAATGACCTGTGGTCTGGGTTAATGACCTGTGGTCTGGAAAATACATTGACCCTAGAAAATACATAGGACAGTGTTTCTTTAATCCTTGTTTATTAATTCTATTCCAGTTAGTTCCATCTAACTTGAAGTTAGATGGATTTATACAAATGCAGATGCTCTGAAGCGTAGGTGAAATGGATTGTGTGAAATGAAAGCCAAAATTGTTTATTTGAAAATGATTGGGAGAATACACTGTGCTAAGTTAGGTTCTTACTTATATCGTGTACATATTTTAAAACAAAAGTTCAAGTTTGTTTGCAAAGGAACTAAATGCAACGATGAAATCACAGCCTCCTTCATTGCTGGAAAAGCAGAATGACTTCTGAAAGAAGAGGTCTTTTCGTTTGGGTGTAGTGCCCTTGCTCCACGTCTCATTTATTGCTATAACCAGTGGTCTTGTTTTAATCTGTGTTGGGGGGGGAGAATATGAGCCAAATTCAGCTTTTTGTTACTGTAACAGAGTAGATGCTCACTTCCCATAAGCGCCCCTCTTTGACTGAGTGTGGGTTCCTGCACTGCCTCAGTTTTAAAGGCCTTGCAGCTACTCAGCCCTCTGGCCAAGTCACACTCTTGTGCAATCATAAACCCCTTTTGGGGTACTTCTCTAACAGAGACCATCCCAGTACCCTCTGTAGAGTGTCTCTCAGTTTGAAACTGTTCTCTGGGTTTGTTGGCTCACTCTGAATGAAAGTGGGGCCTCCAAAGCTTCCCCTCCTGGAGACAACTCCATTGCTCTTAGTTCAGGGCTTCACTTTCAAGTCTATCACTCTCTCAACAGCTCTTCACTGGGAGCTGTCCCTGGTTCTGCTAGACAGCCACCCCTGACCTTCTCCCTTCCAGGTCTGGGCTGCAACTCAACTGTCTCTAAAGCTGCAGTGCCTTTTGTAGTCTCTCCTGGCTCCTGATTGGCTGGTTCCTCCACAGCCATTCTAGCCTGCTGGGAGGACTTCTCTATGGCCCTTGTCTGGCCTCAGGGCAAATCCAAAGATGTCAGTGGATTTACTTTTAATTGGCACCAATTTATCTGACAGTAAATGAGGACATAGCTCTTATGGGTGATGTACCGCAAGTGCTTTCCTTAGTTATTGTGACTGTGTATTATCCACATGTTGTAGGAACTACAGGAAAAAAAAGTTTTCAATATAACAAGATTAAATATGTCTCCTGATCCTGAAGGACATTAATTGTATTTATGTCCTATTAGACTAGATTTTTAAGCTCACTTTTTGAAGTGTTTATATGTACAAATATTAGGAAACTGGAAGCTTGAATTGAAGGATATGTTCATGGCTCTGGGCTTTGCTTCAGCTGGAAAACTATGGAACAGGGTAACCTTCCAAACCATTCTACAGGCACACAGCTGTCATATTTCCATTCTAGCACCAGCACCTGTGTGGCTAAAATTATTAGTTTAAAAAAAAGAAAAACACCATGGACATGAGACTGAAACTAATACAGTAAAAACCTTATCTTTAGATCTCACCTGGAATCTGTTTTGGTGGAAGATGTTCTTAATATAGGCCATTTTTCTGGAAAAACTACTCTGATGTCCACACTGCATTTGCACTTTCAGTCAAAAGAACGCAGGGGGTTTTCCGACAGTGGTAACCCTCTTTCTACAAGGAAGAAGCCTTTTTCTGAAAGAGCTCTTTCGGAAAAAGGCGTGTGTGGATGGGGGGGAGAGATTTTTTTCGAAAGAAGAGGCCTCCAGGAAAAAGCACAGGTGCCCTGGTGCCCATAGTAATCACAACTTAAATGTGAAAAAGCAGATGGCTTTTGCTGTGTGGACGCTCTCTTTTGAAAGAAGTTTTTCTGGAAAATCTCTTCCAGAAAAGCTTCTTCCAAAAGAAGCCTGCAGTCAGGCACATAGCCATAGTACTGAAAGACTATTGAGGTGACTTTCATCCAGTGCAGAGGACCAGCACAATTCCTATGCACCAGTTGAACCCCATTTAAACTGTTAAAGTGGAACATAGGTCTTATGTGATCAACTTCTCTTCACAGAGTGAATTTCTCCCTCAGTGACCATCATATGCTATAGGGTTCAATATGAATTAAATTCTCTCTTTGGGACAGATATTACTCCCTTCCCTTTGCAAGCATAGACTGCAGCAGAATGGAAGCTAAGTGGGATGCAGGGACCTCCCACAAGAAATCTCTGTGTGTCACATAACACTGTTGTCTTTGACATCTGTATGTGCCCCAGCGCACAGAGGGGCTGGGGGGAAGAGCTGCAGATCCGTTAGCCTTTTCTGCTCAGAGGCAGAGAATTCTTGCACCCCAGAGGTTGCAATATTTGCTGCAGATCCACTCCTACAGTGTGACTTGGTGAGAAGATTCCTCTCTGACTCTGATCACACAATCCCGTGTCTCAGCACAGTGCTAATAACACTCACCTCAGACAAAACCAGTTCCATTGGATGTACAGCAGAAGAGAAACAGCTGTAACATACAAAATGTTACAGTGTTCGTGGTCTGGAAAACTAAACCAATGCCTGGAGCCTGGGGGAATTTCCACACAATCCAAAATCTTACATTCTTTCCTCCTTATTTTGCCATACTTGATCATGGGTCTGTGCTGGGGAAGGGGATACCTTTGACACTAAGCATTTGTTTGATGACCATATGGAACAGGAGTGGACAATAAGCAGCCCACAGGCCAGAAGCAGTTTCCCAGGGTTACCCTTGGGGGGGCCACCAGATGCTTTATTTGCCTTAGCTTCCGCAGGTATGGCCAACGGGAACTGCAAGTAGCTGTATCTGTGGACGCGCAGGTAAATAAAGATCTGGTGGCAGGCTAGGGGCTAACCCTGGCAAACTGCATCTGCCTGGTAGAGGACATACGTTAAATCCAAAGGTTAGTACTTCCGACTGTTCCAAATATAGAGTAAACAACCCCCACCCTCCAAAAAATCACATAAAAGGCATTGTTAATCCAACTGACATTCAGTTGTTGGCTGGAACCATAACAATGAAAGCGAGACCTTTTTTCAAGATGGTTTTCCCACACCCTGCCCCTGTGCTTCCCACCATATACAGCAAAATAAAGGGAAACAATTACAGAGCAGTCTACTCCACATTCCCTCCTATAATCCAGATGTTCAATATAATTCCAATTGGCACATTATCCACATTATTACACACTAATAATAGTAAACTAAAAGTTCTCCAATTCAGATTAATAGAGTCCACATCCATTCTGAAATGTTTTTTTCCTGGGTATCAACAGTGTTTCAGATGTCAGTTTTGTACAACACTCTCTTCACATCCCTTATAAATCTCCTTTGCGTTATTGCTGCATATGGTATACAGAATTAACAAGACATGTAATTAGCATTTGTACCCCACAAATTAAATGACTTCACACTTTATACGGGCCTTTTAAATATTTAGGGCTGCAGGAGGCACCTCCTCAAATTCCTGATACAGTCAAAGCTGTTTTTATCTGGCACTTCATCAACCAGAAACCTTTATAAACCAGCATTTCTGATCTTCTTGGAAAGCCAATTTATAGCCCAGTTTGCACAGAGCTGGCATGCTCCCTACCCAGCTCTGTATGGCTCCCTGGAGGCAGCAACATGACCCTGCTGCTCCTAGACAGAGGAAGAGCCACAGGGGCACTGTGTAATACCCCAAACTTTCCAGTTGCAAGGAATAAGGGAAGTTGACAGGAACGTTTCTTCCATTGACCTCCCACTTGGAGATGGCACCAAGCTAGGCTTAAGGTACATCAACTCCAGCTACATGTAGACCTGGCCTACGTGTTTTTATCATGTGGCCTTCACCTTGTTCACCTGAGAAGAAAATCCAGATGCAAATAAAAACAAAAATTTCAGTCTCTGGAATAATGAGAAATTCAGGAAAACTGCTCCTTTGCTTCAGTTGTTTGTCCAATGAGAGTGTAATTCAAACCCTTGTCCAGGGCCAAAGCTGTTCCTGTGCACCATTTAAATCCCACTTCTAAGGTGTCAGGTGTAGGGCTCTCTGCAAGGGGTGAGTTTCACATTGCCTGTTTGTTTGCATGAACATCAGGCCATGTGTATCTGTTCTGGCATTGAAGTCCAGTTAGTATAAGCCATTTTTATCTCAGTGGAAGTCGGTAAGGTTTGGAAGGGGAGTAGGGTAGCTTAGGGGAGCCTTTTAAGCAATGATACCACTTCAAGCTTCAAAGAACTAAAACAAGTTTTATGAGTGAGAATCTTCTATCTAAGCTTCTGGAGAGATGCTAAATGAGCTTGGGGCAGGCTCTGTTGGATTGTGGTTAACAGAACGGTTCCAAAGTATGAGGCATTCTAACTTAGTTACATGTTTGCAGGATAAGGTGGTAAGGTGACACTTTGTCCTCAGGGAGGAACACTATTTGCTGCTCATCAGTGATCTTTCTGGATCATGTTGGGAGCAGCATTACCTAGCTAGAATTACGTCGAATGCTTGTTCCTGGTTGCCACAGTGCAAGGCTCTTAGGCCAGATGTATATTACACCCAGAAGGTCGGCTTAAGGTATGCAACTCCACCTATGTAAATAACATAGCTGGAGTTGATGTACCTTAAGCTTCTTGGCACCTTCTCCACAGTGGGAGGTCGACAAGAGAAACACTTCTGTTGACTGCTCTTACTCCTTGTGAGTACTGGTGCCAATGGGAACACCCTCAGCATTTGATTCAACAGGTCTTTACTAGACCCGCTAAATCAAATCCTGAAAGGTCGATTGCCAGAGCATAGATCCTCTGGTAAGTGGAGATGTGGTCTAAGTAAGGGGGTCTGGTCCAAAACCCTCTGAGGCCAGTGGGTTTGGGATCGGTCCCTAGGTAGCTAGTAGGAGAAAGGTAGGGAATTCAAGGCTCTAAAACTTCACAAAAATGTGCCTGGGGGAGAAATAGAGAAAACCCAATATTAATAATTAATTATTACTAATAATCTTAATTATTGTTCATTATTGCAGCCAGTGGCTTATTTTCCCTCTGTTTATATGCAATGCCTATTAGCATTATTGGGAGCTATCCTCTTGTATGCAAAGGAGCTGAAATGGTGTTCACTCACTGAAGGAGCCCCACTAGGAAGTGGACTTGAGGTTTTTGCTTGAAATCCTAGGACCTGCATGTGGTAATCACCAATGCCATAATGTTAAAAACAGCAAATAAACCTTTGGTTCATGTTCAAATGGTCAGAACCCTTCAGATGATCGACAGTAAAACCAAAAGAGGGCAATGCTGCATGTGATTAGTGACAACGCTCAATACCCATTTGGTTTTAGTTTAACACAGTTCTAGCTATCATTTACCTGGGGTAAACCCCTGAGAGAGAATTTTCCTTTGCATGTGGGTAGTTTGATTTGATTATTTATTGCTCCCATGTAATCCTTGAGCATTCATCACATAAGTGTCACAATACACAGTAGGCAAAATCCAATAGATGTTTGCAAACAGACTGTGAAATATGTGCAGAGGGGCAGCATGGGGAGGCCTAGGCTCCCCTTACCACTCAACTGAGAACCTAAACAGGAAGGATGCAAGTGGTGCACACCTAGGAATGATGGGATAATACCAAGTGCATAAATTCCGAAAAAGCTCCTGAATCCTTAAAGAGAATTGTAGGTATGTGTCCTCATGTAAGGGCTTGATTCTACAAGGTGCTGCATGCCATCTGTTTCAAATATATATGCACTCTTAATTGTAAATGTCTCTCATAGTGTTGTCCAGAAATAGCAGATGCAGCCCAAACCTCCATTTGTTCTTATGCTGTACTTGGGACTGCAAAAGAGATGATTTTCCAGCACTGTCAGTGACCTTCAGTTTAATCATGATAAATATTTAAACCTTATTTTCTTAAATGTTAACTACAAGAGCAGTGAAGCAGAGCTGAGGTTGGACTTTGGCATCTCTTTGTTGCCGCAGTAATGAATGTGCTTATATTATACCCACAAATCTTGCATTTGCTTGCTGCCATCAGGCGTGTACATACCAAAATATATGCTCCGTTTCTGCATGCACATGGAAAGGGTGCACTGTTTTATAAGTACAGCTGAAGTGTCAATCTCTAGAAATTTCCCTTGATTGATATTTCACAGTAACACTGTATCTAAAATCTGAACCAAATACTTGGATCTTTAAGGCCATTCCACAGCTGTTTCGCATTGCAGGGCTACCTGAATGCACATGGACCTGCCCTTTGGAGGATATTCCCTATGTAGATCAGTCCTTAGGTAGCACAGAGCCATTGTATCAGATCTTTTCTTGCCACTCCCCAGTTCTAACCAAACGGCTGGGGTATCCCTGATACTTGAATAGTCCCTTGGGGCCATTTGTGTTGGTGCAGTTTACAGGAGCATTCACAATTTTCAAATTGGCTTTAGAGGGCGAGCCTTGTGCTGAGCCATCTGAGAATTGGAAGCTAAAAAGCCATTTTGTCCTTCTCTCCACCCCCGTGTAGCTGGCCTAGAGGATGCAGCCAGCATTTTCAATGAAGAAGTTAACTTCAACTTTGCAAAGCCAAAGTAGAGCTCAAGGAAATCTTGCTAGAGTGACACTATTGGTATGCAAATCAGGCTTCTCAGGCTAATTTAATAAAATGAGTTGTGCTCTGTGTTTATCTCCATAACGGTGTATGCTCACATACGCTGATTGCATGAGATGCTACAGGAATTTGAATTCCTTCAGTCTGAAGGAATAGGTGTTACATTTTTAAGGTTACCCCAAACAGTATGAACATCTCTTGGTACACTGGGATTCCCATATAAACATGCTCTAGTGTTCTCCCCATTTCACAGATGGGGAAGCTACGGCACAAAGAGAGCTCAAGCCCTAACTTTGGTGTGTAACATCAGGCTGCTAAGTTAAATGTCCTGATTTTCAGGGGTGCTGAGTATCTGCAGCTCCCACTGAACCCCTGAGGGATTGACTTCCTGGGGCTACTCAGTGTCTGTGGATCAAGTCATCTGGCTTTAGAAATCCACTTCTGAAAATCCTGGCTTATGTTACTTGACAAAGGCCACAAATGAGGTCAGGGTCAGCTGAGACTAGACTTTTGCTTAGTCCATTAACTCGTGGTGCCTCTCATGCTATTGAGGTACTTCCCCTCGTGGCTCAGCAGAGGAGGTGGTTCATCAAGTATGTGGCTGGTAGTGAGCTTATGACAGCTTTGATAGCATTAGTGCTATTCCCTTAACCTCTGAACTCATCTCGGGGCCTTCTCAAAGGATCTGTGGGTCTGATTTGTATGGACTCTAAAGCCCTGCTGTGGATGACTGTGAGGGGAATGTGAACAACTTGGGAACTTAACAAAGTGGCAAGCTTTCAACCTTAGTGACTGGTGAATGAAAGCTGGGATTCTTCTGGGTACTTCTACAGCTTCCCCACAAAGTAGAGGGGAATTGCAGTTTGTCTTTGTTGCTTGCAAAAGTCGGCTCTGCTTGCATGACCTCCACCAACCAGCCATAGGGATATCTCGTTGGGATCTAAGGGTGCATCTACACAGCAGGGCTTAACTTGAAATAAGCTATGCAAATTGAGCTACGTCAATTGCGTAGCTTATTTCCAAATAGCTTATTCGAAATTGGGAGTGTCTACATAGCACTTATTTTGAAATAGAGCGCTCTTCCTCTGACTTCCCTTATTCTTCGTACAATGGGGATTACAGGAGTTGGAGTAGGAAGTCCTCCAGCTTGACAGTATTTTGACACTATTTCGAAATAACTGCCTGCTGTATAGATGCGGACTAAGTTATTTCAGAATAGGGATAGTTATTTTGAAATAGTGTTGCAGTGTAGATGTACACTAAGATAAATGCATATGGTCATCTTTAATTGGAAGCATGGATTGAGCTAATAAAACATTTGAAGAGGGACTACAGTATTTGTGGGAACCTTTTTTGGGTCGGGGGGCTGCTGACCCACAGAAAAATCATTCAAGGGCCGCACACAAATGAGACGCAAAACAAACAAACAAACTCTCACTGACGTGGTCCCCAACTGGGAAGCAGAAGATACTCCCCGTATTTCCCTCATCCATAAGAACCTGGGGGGCCCAGGCTAGTAGATTTTATGTACTCCAGCCCCATGGGGGAGAGGTGAGGGGCGGCTGAAGCATCAGTGAGGGCTCCCCAATGCCGGGAGGGAGTCTTGAGCCCCAGGCCTTAGGTTCCCCACCCCTGAACTAAAGGCATAAAATACTAGGTTTCCAAAGGGGTGTAAGTCATACTTTGAGGCTACGTCTAGACTGGCCCCTTCTCCGGAAGAGGCATGCAAAGAAGGCAAGTCAGAATAGGGAAATCCGCGGGGGATTTAAATAAACATGGCCGCCACTTTTTTTCCGGCTTGGGGAAAAGACGGAAAAGAGCGTCCAGACTGGCCCGCCGCTTTTTTTCCGGCTTGGGGAAAAGCCGGAAAAGAGCGTCTAGACTGGCGCGATCCTCCGGAATAAAGCCCTTTTCCGGAGGATCTCTTATTCCTACTTGCAAGTAGTAATAAGAGATCCTCCGGAAAAGGGCTTTATTCCGGAGGATCGCGCCAGTCTAGACGCTCTTTTCCGGCTTTTCCCCAAGCCGGAAAAAAAGCGGCGGCCATGTTTATTTAAATCCCGCGGGGGATATTTAAGTCCCCCGCGGATTTCCCTATTCTGACTTGCCTGCTTTGCATGCCTCTTCCGGAGAAGGGGCCAGTCTAGACGTAGCCGAAATGTTACAGAAATCTCTAGCCATGCTACTGCTGTGGTAAGGTTCCTGCCTGAACCGGGAGTCTATTAAATGAAAATAAGAATCCATTGAATCATTTAAAAAATAGAAATCTAGATTTCAAACCGTTTTTGCTGTACAGGTCAAATTCTGTGTCAGCTTGTACCTTGGAAAATGTGGCCTGAGGTGACATACAGTGAGCACGAGTGTGTATATTAATACTTTTAATTATTTGTTATAAAGCCTAATACAAAAAAACATTGTCACCTAACTAGATCCAATAAATGTATTGCATCA